CCGTCTCTGTCTGAATATCTCGTCCGAATCCTTCTCCGAAGCTTGTTACGGTCTCCTCAGGATGATCCATTTTGCCTGTTCCTTTTTGGACTACCTTTTTCCTATTTTTGACGTCCCCTTAAGCTTTCCGTTTAGTTGGCGTTTGTGTATGACGTTGTAACTCGGTACTCACATTTTCTATAGCAACACGGTCTTTAACACAACACTTCTGTCTTCTGATCGACCTGGGGTCACCATTAATCGACACGAGTTTGATAGCGGCTAAATGCGCTTGAAACAGTGACAATTTTATCAATCGTTGTTTAGTTATCCGCAGTTGATTTATTAAGCGAAGCAGAAATTCCAGTAATTAGAATTGTCCTTTGATTTCTTCGTTTATACATCCTAATTTTCTCTGAGTGTACGAATTAACCATTCCACTGTTCTTGACGCACGTTGCTCACTCGCCAGCGATATCAGGAGTTCTGAATTATTATCCTCAGTCAATGTTTTCACCACCGTTGCTTTAAGGCATGTCGACTGAACAACTATTATCGCCCTAAGAACTCTATTTAATCTAATATAAAACTCAAGGAACCGAAGCACGTTTCCACCAACGTTTTTCCAACGTTTGCGATTGTGAAAAAATTAAAGGTGGCAAATTTAGAGTACCAATCAACCGCAAAAAGAAAATGTACTTCACATTTTTTTTCATTAACTATTGACCTCAATGAATTCATTTGAAGGTTTTCGTTCAGTTCTTTCAATTTTGTTAATGGTTCAGCGTTTTATTTATTTTAGATTTAGGTTCTTATCGATTTTAGTGCGCGGCTTGCACGTTGAGGACTTGAGGATGTTGTCCTTATTCTTTTCAACCAAACTTTCTCTGCGAGTTCTGTCATTCCTGTTTGGTCCGGGTGAGTTGAGTGGAAAAAAACCACATCCTACTGATTGCAGTTGAATCGGAATTGCAATTTCCTGATCAAACACGATTATTTCACGTTTCAAGCTCAAGTCGTTCAATAATGAAGATAGTACTGGCCTAGTTTGCGACATCTCTCCTCGTCTTTGTTGATGATGCAGTTCCGCAATTCTCGTTATTTCGCGTCTCGATTTGTCAGAGCAGCAACAATAGTCTCCAACGGGTCTGTCATCGTCTGCACTTCGTCCTCGTTGTTCTTCTCTTTGTTGACCATATGAATATTGATGTTTGACTACTCGCGCAAATTTTGAATAGTGAATTCTTTTCACTCAATTTATTATTCAAAGTTGTGCAGTTAGGGGTGTGACTCAAATCTTTGCTCGTTTTCAGACCAAACAAATGCCTGAACTTTCCCTCCGATCCTTTATCCAACGAATTGAAATTACGTAACAAATTAATAATTGATGTAATTTGTGCAACAATAAATTCCTAATCAAATTTTTCTGGCCGGAAAACGGGGAATGTAATCGAGCAAACCAATATTGTTTCCTGGAAACCGCTCTACTTTAAATGTAAATGGATCCGGACGATCTATTCATCTAAATAACCTACTTTGATCTGTTTTGATTGTACGGTTAGGTTCAAGAACAGTAAATCACTTTCTATGAACTGCAACCATAATGACCGTACAACTAGTAACGAAAATGCTCGATAGACCATACGACACCTAACAATTAAAACTCTTCAAAACTATATCTCATTTTCTCATTTCGGCCCAATTGAGGACGCGCGACACTCTTCCAACCTTCTGAAGCGTCACACTTTGAGCGCGTCACACTTTGAGTGCGCTTCCAATTTTTTGTTAAAATGAGTTTTATTCCGTTATCTTGAAAAATTTAAACTTGACCAACTGGAAATCTTTTCATGTATTTCATATTATCCTAGTTTTAACAAATCTCTGAATGACAAACACAGTGCCGCTAAACCTGGTTTAAATTTTGTCACATAATGTACCGGTCCAAGGAAAGATCTTTGTTTTTTTTTTGTGGTTGGCGACGGTATTTTTGCAGCGGTTTTTAATTCCAGCGGAAGGATTCGGTTTTTAGTTTCAGCTGTTTAAAACCCGGCATTGACACTTCAAAATTGAGCTATTCAAATGCTTTTGCAATTTCGCACTTTGGTAAATAAACAAAAATATTTTTTGTCAAGCAATCGTTTTAAACATTTTTCCACTTCACTAAAATGATCTTCATAACCATCAGTTGAGATTACAATAGTAACATCAAAGAAACAAAAAGGTTTAACCGTTAGAACGATAGGAGAACAAACTGTTGGTCTGCGCGTTTTTCACATTTGGTACGTGCCAATTTTTTTCTAGTCTTTTGGTCTCACCCATTACCTTGTTTTGAAAAAAATAATAAATTCTCCGTCCCTTTTGTTGCTTAGGTGTGAAACGTTTTTTAAGCGTCGAATTAAGGAAAAAATCTTTTCGCTATTTCGTTTCGTGTAAATAGCCTTGGAAGTTGTTTCGCAAATTGAATTTTAAGTACATTGTCATTTTTCCCGGAACTTCGGAAGTGTCAACAGAACTTCTCGTAGTACCCCGTCTGAATCTTACCAAAACGCTCGCTCCGAGTTTCCGTTGGCTATCGTTACCATATATCATGGCATCCGACTTCTAGAACTCCCACTAACCACGGCAAACTTAAACTCAATATGTCCTACTCATAGTCGTATCTTCTGCTTCCTGTCTATTGGAAAGAAAAACATTGAATGCCTCGACATTTTTGCATTTTGTATTGTAATCCTTTTTTGATTCCTTAACTGATTTTGAATACTCTGTCTTATCATCAATTGCATTCATATCATGTTTATCTGATGAATCCGAACCACCAAATTGTATTTTCTATTAGATTTGTTGACTTTACATCATATTTTTTTCACGCTGGTCACTATCTTGCTCTCTCCCATCAACATAATAACCCTTGTCACGGAATATAGGACTCGTTCCACCTCCACCTCTCGACAGTCTTCATACTCGTCTGCCTCTAGAATTAGCACTACACCAGCCGTTTTGGCCTCCACTCCTACACATCCTAACAAAATGGTTCTTCATGCCACCTTGTCTGCAATCTTGACCCATGGCAAGGCAAACCTGATGGCGCTGCGCTGATTAGGACTTTCCTCATAAGTTGCACGGCTTCCCTCGACAACTCCCACTATTCCTTTGCACGCAGTTTACATAACCGCTCAACAAATTCCCATATCAGCCCTTCTCTCAAATAGTCTTGGTGTTCTTCCGCATCTGTTTTAATCGTTTTGCATACTCTTTTTTGGAGTCATAGCTTCCTTCATGAGTTCGTCCTAAATTTGAGATATTGGCTACAATTATGTCGCTGACCATTATGTCTTCTCCTGCCACCAATTTACCTGGGGGTTTAACTACAGATTCTTTGATTTTAAAATGTTACATGAGCTTTCAACGTTAGTTCAGTCTTTCGAAGATACTGTTTCAGATTAGATCGTAACGACAACTAAAACAATGTGTTACTGAACATAGTTTAGGACTATGACCTTTAGCGTAAGCTTAAATACGAGATCAGTCTTAACTCATAACGATAGCAACACCACAAAGTCAATCAAACAAAACCTATAATTAGCGTGAAAAAAAAGGACATTAGAGCTGTAAATAACTATCAATGCACATAAAGTTCAAATGTCAACAGAGAAATTGCTCATAACTCTATCTCTTTTGGAGTTTGTTAGTTTTTTTAGTTCATTTTATAGAAAAACAATATCACTTTACAATTTCTTGAACTTCATCAAAATTCGTTCAACTGAAGTGCTTTTTAATGAAACCTGCTTCTTGTGATTAAATAGAAAAAAAATATTTTGTTTTCATTTAAAAAAACTAATTAAACAGTGTTTTCCGAAATTTTCCAGCTCCCTTTTTTATTTATGAACTGAAAAGAAAAAAATGAACAAAAAAACTGGTCTTGATCAAAATTCAAATTTTTGTGAAACTAAAAATTTGAAGATCCGTTTTTTCATTGGAAAGAGGACAATGTTTTTAAAAAATATATCATTTTGTTAGGTTTTTGCATATTTTCTGAAAATGTTTATTATTACCCAGAGGGATAAATTATACAGTTCATCTTAAGAAATTAATGTAATCCAGGATAGCTTCTAAAACAAATTAGAATTTCGTAAGACCTAAGATGAAAAAAAAATTATATATAAACATATGATGTTGAAAATGTCATCTTTTGATTTGTTGAAACTGGTAACAAAAGTCAATTTAGGCTTTGCTTTTGACTTGCTCTTGTTCATCCAAAAGTTTTGAGCTAATCCGTTACATTCGTTGCACAAATTTAGCAATAGAAGTTCTGACTTCTGAGTTCCTTAACTTTGCCCATTACTGTTTTTATCTATGATTTAAATTAGTTTTTTGTTTTAACCAATGTTTCGCTCATTAAGCTTTTTTGTATTCAAAAAAGCAACATTTTTTGATCAAATATGCAGAAAGAGTAATTTTGTTCAACAGAAGATCATATTTTCCGTTATGGCAAGAGTAATTTTGAAAACTCACCTTGTAGGAACCTCCAAATTAGCTCCTATTATTGCTATTAACATTGCTAGTGGCAGCACTGACTTCATCAGGAACCGTTTATGTTTTGTCGATAAAAAATTGATTTCTTTAAAAGGAAACTTAATAGAAGGCAAGGTGTACAGCTTTGTAAACAAGCAGGCGCATCTTTAAATTTGAGCGCATTCAAAAATCAAACATGATAACAATTTTCTTTTGTAAGTTAATCTGAATAATTGAACGATGGTTTCAATCGTGTTTCACCGCAATGAAAATTTTGTTTAGTGGACAGAAAACAAAAATTCGAGGTAGCCGATGAGATAGTGACATCACAGTCCGAAAATCTGTGGGTCAAGGCCCACCATAATCCGGGCTAGAGTTTGAGGGTGGGGCAAGATTTCACAGGCCAGCAAAAAACCAAAACAATAAATCAACGGAATGAGGGGTAAAAACAACTGGCTCCTATATCGACCCTCTCCCTCGAGAATAAATGATCTCGATGAGTAAAAACAATATTATGATAATTTAATTCAAAAGAAAAACACTTAGCGGGGACTAACAGAATCAAGAAGTGATATAGAATTGCACTAAAATCATGTTTGAGAGACGTTATTTGGAGCTTTCAGTTTGTGTTCTGGAGACAGTCTTTCATGGCCACTTTAAGCCTAGAGATGCTCTCTTCGATGTTCAGCTTCAAGTCAACGTCATCTTCACATATTACTTCCTGAAATGGAGGAAAAATGGGAAATGGCTTTCTCGAAGTTAGGTGAAGAATTATCATAAAAATTTGGCGATAAGGTACTATTTATGTGGGATAAACACATTAAGGCAAAAACAATATTTTAAATAAACTTGTAGAGCTATCTGATTGAAAAATTCGACCTGAAATCGAACACTCTCTCCCCTCCATTCGTTAACACATAAATTTCCATTCACTCGCTGCAAAATTTACTCATTACACATCTATGAAGCCGTATATATTGCTGCAATTTAAGGATTTGACAGCGCTTCAGCCTTGATGGTTTATGTCTTAGTGGTTGATGGACGTGATATGGAAATACTGTATGTAGGCCTAGAATAATTTTGATAGTGATGATAATTTATCACAAACGCAAGCAAACATTTAAAAAACACTGAATTTGTTGAAACAATCTCAACTTTCAAATTTCAAAGAAAAAAATAGATGCCCTATAAGCTCTATGAATTTCTAGAACAATTTATGATTGCCGCTTTTTTGATAAAATTAACCCAACTTGAGAAAACCAGATCAACAGATAAAGTTTTTTTTCCGCTGGGAAATCTTAATAACAAATTCCGCTTTCGAAACTAGAAATCGCTCACGAATTTTCGCGCCAATTGCAAGTTCGTATTTGGAGAGTGGATTTACGTCACTTTCAGCAGATGAATTTCAATTGAACTCAAAAAGTTCATATATAGCTCAGTGCATTCATAAATGCATCAATATGTATGAATGTACATCTGTAGCTATTACAGACTTATGCACATTTTAAGACTTTTTCCGCAAAAAGAAACAAAAAAAATCAGCAAGACCTATATGAGAGTTTTCGCTATTATTCTTAAAAATTATCGGAGATACATTTTTCCGGAGATAATTCTGCGATAAAACGAGTATTTCAGAAAAAGACTACCAGGTATATTTTAAACCGGGGATATATTCTGTCTGCAATATTAAATGTCGTTTGGAAACTTTTACTTGCGACGATATTTTATTTGAAGATTATGAACGCGCACCGTTTCAAATCGTTAAGTATGGGAGAAACCCTCATGCCAGAAGGTACGAATACCGATATTCGTGAGGCGACAACTGGTCGAAAGCGGCATTTCGCACTTTTCGAAAAAGTGACAACTCGCACCAACAATTAGAAGTATATAATTGGTATGTCGCAACCGGGCTGATGCGTTTTGTGTGATTGCAAGAACCGAGACACGAACTGTTTACAAAAACGCCTGGCGGTTATCGGCGCGAAGTGCCATCGCGCCCACCGCCAGGCCACTGGGAGAGAAGAATAGCCCCCATTATAACACTACAATCGAGATTTTCTGAAGTTATTATAACTATGATCGGAATGGTCTACTCACGAATGTTTTCAGGTCGATTGCAGCCATGTGTGATCCCAGCCTCACTCTGACCTGTTGGTGTTCTGGATGGGCGGACACACTCCCGTCCCCGTAGATGTCACACAGCAGCTGGAACATGCAGTCTCCCAACTCCGCTTCACCACTCACCTCCAACAGGGAGGACTTTCCAGCTAAATCAAAAGAACACAACTGTTAACCTTCAAAAAACGAGAAGAATTTATTGAAAAATTAACTCCTCTCCCTTACACAGCTTAAGATACTCAAATTTTGGAATTGTTTTCTGCAATCTAATTCTGCCTGACCGTTTTTCAAAAAAAGCCGCTGAAATGAGAAATTTTTTGGATAAAGGGATTGAGATAGTTTTTGTCTGATTCAAATTTTTCTAATGAGCGACAAAAACGCATTGCATAAACGCAGCCTGATACCATTTTGTAGTCAACTGAAGCAACTTCTAATTTTTGCACTACTAGCTTAATTACATAATCTTAGAGACTTCTTCAAAACAAGACTTCTTAACAATAAACCTCACCCCTCTTAGCCGATGGTTCGTCTTTCTCCTCCTCGCTCTTGAGGAGAGCTGCCACCACCGCATCCGCATACATGTCACTCACTGTACTTGCCTCCCACTACACACCCACAGAGAACACAAAAGAGATAAGATAAAGCATGAAGTTGAACTTCAGTATCAATTTAGCATCTAGTAGTATCTATACTACTAGAATCATCTGAAATCTCAGGCTACAGCTGAGTTCAAACAAAAAAAATTTTGCAATCAGAATGCAATTTGTGGTGATAATCATCAATTACTGTGTTGGCAACTTAAAAAACAGTTGCATATACATCTAAACATGGCCAATCGAAGATTGGAAAAGAGAATTGAACGCAAGTAAACATTAAAAAAACACTAAATCTCAACTTTCGAATTTCACAGAAAAAAAAAGATATCCCTACAGCTATTTGAATTTGTAGAATAATTTATGATGGACATTTTTTTGTTAAAATTAACCCAATTTGAGAAAACTGGATCAATAGGCAAAACTTTTATTTCGGTGGAAAATCTGATAATTAATTTCCATTTTCGAAATTAGAAGTCGAATGTTTTTCGTGACCTTTACACTTTTGCTGCTGGATAGTGGATTTTGCCTTTCTTTCAACAATGGAAGCGCACCGAACTTGAAAAGAAATCACAAGTCAAACCGCGAAAGATCAAAATTGAGCGTGAACAAATTTTACGACTTTTTCCTGAAACAAGACCCAAAAAAAATCAGCAAGACCTATATAAGAGTACTCACTACGTTCATTACTTTTAATAACATTTAACTATAGAACGATAGATAGTTCCAGATAGTTAACAAAGAGGCGAAGCTGCTCTTTGCAAACACTTGCGAGAACACGGTCAAAAAGCAGCTCTATCAAGTGAAAAAAAGAAAAAGTAGAAATGAGCCTCGAATTAGCAAAAACTCGGCTACGAGTAAGCTTCGAATCTGTGACCTACTGCAATCAATAGATTTTGAGTCATACGCACTATCCACTCAGCCATTTTTCGGTTCATTTGATGAATTAAAATGCAGCAACTGTGTTTGCTTATTACTATTCGAATGTCAAAGCACATGCTATCAAAAAGCTGTAAAAGTGCCCCAACATAATTGGGGTGCCGCACCATAAATATTGATATCTGGAGATCCATCCATTGATATCTGGAGATCCATCCATTGATATCTGGAGATCCATCCATGATACTTCCAAAGATCAAAAAGTAAGATACACTTCATTTATCTACCTCTAGAATGCATATTCCGTCCTCGAGGGTGACCGTGATGGAGTTGTTGTAGACTTTAAGGGAGAAGCGCACTCCCTGGTTGAGGATGACGTCATCCAGGCCACATAGCTGCTGCAACACCACCTGTACTGTGGCGAAGCTGCGAGTGAACGGAACTGACAGCTTCTGACTCAGTCGGCTGATAGTCAAATCTGTGTAGTCTGAGAAAAACAAAAATACAGACTATACTTGAAAACAGGTAAACAAAAAAGGCATTCATGACGACTTTACACGGAATATCAGAGCTTTTGATTTTAAGTTAAGATGATTTATCCACGAAAGAAAGTACCAACATAGGATCTGTCCAGTTCTTCACAGATAACCGCTGTTGTGCCCCTGGTTAAGAACTGCATGCAATTTGTGCGGTTATTTTACTGGGCTGGGTAATGTTGCATCACTTCCGACCTTTCGATTGAGAGGCAGAGAGACGTAACCACTTCATCAGCGCTCCTCAAAAACTGAATCAAATTTACGCCACCCATACAGAATCCGCAAATCATTTACTATTTATTTGAACTATATAAAAATGTACTCTGTTTTCTTTTCGGGAGGGAGTGTGTTACGTCTAGATATGTGAACTTTAATTCCAATATATAAATTCCGGTTTCAGATTAGTAAGACGATGAAATTATACAATTCAGGATAAACTTTAAGACTGCGATAAAAAGAAACTGTATACTAATAACTATAAAGCAAACATTTTTTCTTCAGAATTATTTGACAAATAAGATTTCAGCACAAAATCCGTAGCGTTTTAAAGAATACGTTCATTTGAAATAACTAGTCTCAAATTTTTCTACTCCAATTTTCTGCACTTACGATTTATGTCTTTTGGATTCAGAAGGTGGTAGTTGAAGTTCCTTTTAAGGAGCACCCCAGACACCTTCTGTCCCATCTGGGGTTTCTGAACTGCGAGACTTCCCATCACCTTTAAATATTCCATATGCTACTCCAATCCAAACAAAATCTAGTAACGTGTCAAAATTCAAATGCGTTATTTTTTTTAGTCAACCAGCCAGGAGGCGCTACCCGGAGATTAAATATTTAGGGTTGAATTGAAGCTTACTTAAACTCAGGCGCAAATTCGATTTGAATCCGCACTCATATGATTGCTGGGCACCATCACTACCGAATACCCGCCAGCTCCATTCATTCTTTTTTGGGAAATATCAAAAGGAAATATTCGAATCATTCATGCTCGTAGACATGCCTGCTGTTTAATCCCCTCAAACTGCATAGTTCAAACTGTTATGATAACTTCATTCAGTGACATTGTTGAGTTAATTGATGTTTTGATGGCTTCTAATGAATTGGCAAAAATTCAAAGGTTTTCTTCGTAGTTTTTATAGTTGATCATCAGCAATGACACGAGAAATCAAAAATCCAGACATATGAAGCTGAAATTCTGCAATCGGATTCTTTAACCGAAGAATTTTTAACCATACTATTCGTCGTAACCGAATAGGACTAAGTTCAATAAAATACATTTTTTGACGTGTCCATTTTCAGCTATCTCATCAATTGAGTTGATGGGTTGTCGGAGTTTACCTTGGCCATTTTCTCTCCGGGGTAGAATAGCTGGACCTTCTGGCTGTTCTTGGGCATGTACATCTTGGGCTGGTAGCTGGCACTGTTCTCGTACTGTCTACCCAGTGCATTGTGCAGTCGGCCCATCTCTGTTTCCTCACCGTGCACTAGTATCTAATTGAATTGAATTATATAGTGAGAAAAACTTTTTTTTTGATGCACAATGAACACGCAGGAGCCCTAAGGCGCATCAAGGTGAAACTATGAAAAACCAAAAAATCATCTATATATTCATCCACATTCCACGTACACAATGACGCTCGTAACTTGCTCAACTTACTCACTGCATTAACTCAACAATCCTGACATTTCACAGGAGTATTTACTGATCATCGTGTGCAACTGACACATTCATATTTTTTTGATTATCATGATTCAAATCATTACGCTTCTAATTAGAAAGCCAAAATAGGAAAAATTGTAGCCACGGGACTTAGAACTTCACAAGTCGTTTTTTTTCTAAGCTACCATCACGCTTAGCTATACAAAATGTTACCCTAACAAATTAAGATTCAAACCTATTTTCCAGAGTGGACAAAAACCTACGGATTGCTCTAGTAAAAACAACCCCATTTCTTGTGAAATACATAAAAATCCGTAGCAAAAACTGAAATTGGCGGACCAGATGCGGCGGCTGTAGTGCCCTGACGAACTCGGACACCTGTCTGTAGTCGACGTGGGCGGAGAAGGAGATGTAGTCCACACTGCATTTGAGAGGCAGCTTCATCCCACTCATCGAAGTCACCTCCTCGGGCTGGGCCAGGATGTCCTGCAGATACGCAACAATCGTCGCATCACTATCATGATCTTGATTCATTATTTAGATAATTAATACTTTCCATGTCGACTAACTTTTACATAGATTCAAAAGGACGACTGCGGTTCACAGAGTTGTATTCTGCAGACAAAAAAATTGTCTGTAGAAGTGAAGCTGTAGTATTCTGCATTACTCAGTTCGCGGTGGGACAATTTTTCGACAAAAACAGCGGTTTGTTATTGCGGAGGATTGGAGCATCTTTAAGGCGAAACAACCCAATTTTCATCCGAAGCGAATAAGAGTATATTGTTTCGAAACGCTCACCTAAGTGCTCAAACAAGCTAGCTTTAGGTAAATTCACATTTAAGTAGGGCGGACTTCCTTTTGTCCGTCGAAATTTCAGCTTAATTGACTTAAAATTAGATAGCCAAAAAATGTTCAGCTTCAAAAGTAAATACAGCTAGTTCTAAATCACCAAGTAACAACTCAAAATGACTAAATTATCATCGGTTACACATATGAAGTCATTAGCTGATGGCTGATGAAGTGATAACTAACCCTGGCCATGGTTCCCTCAACTGAGTATCCGGCAATGATGACTCCATTCTTGAAGTCAGTACACCAGCTCTCAAATAGCTCTCTAGACAGGCCAGACTGCATCATACCTGGACTGGCCATCACCACTGAGGGCCCAATGTCGTCAAAGTGGTCGATGCTCTGAATAAATCGGTTTGAAACATCGATAAGTTTTCCAAAACTGTGACATTAGACAGTGCATTTTGAGCAAAAGCTATGTTTCTACCTGGAAAAATTTCAGTGCCTCCTAGCATATCAAGTATACCGTTTAAAGAGTTCAGGAAAAGTAAGCGCATTAATAAACTGACACGTGCATGCATAAGCGCATGTATAAAATGATATATGCAGCTGAGAAACTCCACTTTTTTCTAACAACTGTATTTTAATTTGCCTTGTGAACACAATGACCTTGAGATTTGAGACGTGTCTGAATGCGAATGGGTTGCGGAGTGCCATCTGTTTGCGCATCTTCTCGTTCATGGCATTGGAGAAGGTGAGGTAGACTGGCATGCACCTCTTGGCCAGGGATGAGGCGTAGTAGATGGGCACATCCTGTAGCTCCGGCTGCTGCGACCAGTACTCATCTAGAACACAAAAAATTTTTTTAAAAACTTTTTTAAATAGTTCGAAACGAAACAAATCAAACAAGGAACACAGCATTTAGATCAATAGAGAAAAGGTACAGTAACCTAGCAATAGTAGTAAGCTCAGTGGAAACGACCCAATCGTACTTGCCAAAATTACCCACAGGTACCGTGTGGTCGTCTTGACCGCTGGACCATAAGTTTGATCTCAAGTCGCATTTTAACACAAACTTTGAGAGGAGCGCATCTTTTTTTTTGAAAAAAAAGTCATTCAAATGTTTCGATAGGCTCAAAGTTTGGAATTATTGACTATGAAGAAGGTTGACTGATGGTTTTCAAATATGTTCACTTGCCTTAAACAGAAATAGATGAAGAAATAATGAACTAGGTGACCTGGAGATATTCTACTAGAAGGGTTGAGTAACCTGCATGCCATTCCTGGTGTAGAGTTTGTAATGTACTTGATATATGAAAATGTATCTCAAATGCTTGTCTACAACGAAAGTTTAAATTCAATTCAACTGAGACTCAAAAAGTTTCTTGGTAGACTAACCGAGTATGAGCAGGAGTTCCTGTGCCCTGCCTAGAGCGAACACAGGAATGAGACATCTGCCTCCCCTTCTGATGATCTCGTGCACTTTGCCTGTGAATCTAGTCTCCCGCGTCATTCTGTTGTCGTGCAGATAAGTCCCATAGGTTGCTTCCTATACAGAAACGTTTTAGATAACAGACTGTATCGACTATGCAACCAACACTCGAAGATTAACATCGAAACTGAACGGTGGCTAAGTGCTTATGAATTCCTATCACAATCTAAACACTGATTGTTTCTGCATCACAGAAATTCATTCTTTTTTGGAGTGGACACTAAGGAACAAAAAAAAACAATTCAGCTGTCAAATCATAGAAATGTTTTAATTCAGATTCAAGCAAAAAAGGAGGGCACTTCAATTAAGTTTCACGTGAACTTCAGGCGGATTGAAAAGGTATCACAGGAGAAAAGAATGCAGCAAAACAACAGTTGTTTTTACAATTAGAGCATAGTTTTCCTATCCCTAATTTATTCCATTTTAAAAAACGAACGGGCATTATATGCAGTCCTATTCCTCCATAATCACTTACTGATATGAGGACGTGTGGTTTGACCTGGGGCACCTCTGCCTTCATCAGATGTCGGTCCTCCTCACAGCTGTAGTCTCCAGTGTACAGCACCTGTCAATCATCAATATTCACATCACAACTGATTCGGAAAGCTGTAACTATTCGACCACTTATTTAGCTATTTGAACACAAACTTCATCAAAAGCGGCGGCTTTATGGTCTAAAGGTGTTCCCTCAAGTTTAAAAATTAGGAGCAAGTTACTAGATAATAGCTAAAAGTAATCTGTACTTACCCTGACTCCGGCTATTTCAATCATAAACATACAGGCACCCAGCACATGGCCAGCATGGTAGCACCAGAACTTCACGCCACTAATCTCCTGAACCTGTCGAAAACAAAACCATAGATTTCCTAGCTTCCGCTGACCTTCGATTACCGTTCTTAATTTCGGGAGTCAATTCATTTCGAATGGTGTCTCTGTAAGAGTTCCGTACCTGATGGAAATTGATCGTTTCAATTTTCTCCATCGATGCATCCAAGTCTGTTTCTGAGAAAAGCATGTCATCTGATCCGATGTTACTGTTAAAAAAGGAAATGATAATTTGACATTACAAGATTACAGCTGTTGTAATTGAATGTCGAGTTTTAATTTTCAATCATCCAATTAGCGGAGCAGAGCCCGCAAGTCAGCTACATAGCTCCATAATTAATTTCATTTTTCAGCTCGGCTGTTTTCCTGTTTGTGTTCACTCCCCCTTGTGAAGAAACAAATTAAAATTTCAAAATATTTAATAGGGCAATTTGAATTTCGGAATTTAGTTTAATCTGTTTGCTTGTTCATGCCGACCTTCAAGAAAAAAACTGAACTGAAATGAATAGGAATTTTTAAATATTTTGAGAAAAAAATTTAATCAGAAAATTTGTAACTGCCTTCAAGTAACAAAATTATTATTGTCCAGGCCATTTAAATGACAAAGATTTGTATTCGGGTTTGTTTTAGTTTTTTCCGTTTTCCACGCAAAATCAAGTACCACAAATAATCATCGCAATGGTTCGAGTGACATCATATAGGTCCTTTCAGTGGTAATTCGAACGACATTATAACATTTTCAAAAAACTATCCCAGTGTCGAGAAAAATTGGTTTAAACTTTTGAGTTTTAGCAATTTAGACTAAAAAATTTTGATTTTACTAAAAAGGAAAATTAGTATTAAAAACTTCATTTAGCGCGTCACTTACAAAAAAATCAAATAATATTATAACTTTTAGTGCAAATTTTTTTTAGAGCATTGAAGAGCAACATAAATATATTTCTGATTGAAACATATTGGAGAAATGGCAAAAAAATGAAAGGTTGCTTTCGAAGCGGTACACGAAAAAGAAACCGGCATACATTTTGAACCACCGTTCGACACGAGAAGCGTTTCGGAAGTTGATTTAGAGACATTGAGAGTTTTTGATAGTTCTTTGTGGGCAGTACTCAGATATGATTTCAAAAAGCATGTCATATACCAGGAGCAACTCACAGTACCTTCCTTAGAGTGATCTGTTATTTCATTCTGATTTCTGATACAGACAAGGTAATTACGCAGAGGCGAAGCATCCTTTTGCGAACACTTGCGAGAATCCGACAAAACGCAGCTCTATAAATATGTAGCTCTTTTTATATAAAAAAAAGCAGCTCTTTTTCCTATATGAGCAATAAAAAAAGTAGAAATAAGCAGCGAATTAGCAAAAATTCGGCTACGTCTCGGACTCGATCTGTGATATACTACGACCTAGAGATAATGAGACTCACACACTAACCACTCGGCTCGGCCACGGACGCTTCATAATTCACAAACACAAAACAAAAATAAAGCAGAGAACAGATGCTATGAAACTTCCACTGCTACAGATCGTGAATATAGCAAAAAGGAACACCAAATAAGTGAACACTTTAATTTTAAAGTTGGGCTAGAAAAAAAGATGGTTCCTACTATTAAATTCAGGAGGTTTTCCAACTGAAGTTAAACCATTACAAAAAAAAACGTTTTATTTGGACAACTTCCAGTTACCTCCGACCAAGCAGCAAAACGAGTAATGACTGCTGCAGCAAACAACAAGATGGTATCTATCGCAACCAACGATCACTTTTAACAATTTTCTCGCCAGAAGAGTTAACCAGAGGAAATAAAATCATCAAAAAAAAACATTCGTATTTGAATAACTTCCAGCAACGGAATCAATCAAAAAACAATCAGGAAAAATCATAAAAATCTTTTCTAATTGTTACTTTTATTTTGTGTCAATTTTTGTGAGCGGTGAGATGAGAAAAATAAAAAAGGCGTATAAAATTAGCCAAAACTGACAAGTTATCTTCAAAAAACATGAAAAAACGTTCAAATAAAAACATTTTTACTTCAAATCTTCTTTCTTTAAGTTTAATTGACCAGTTTACATCCAATTTTATATAACGAACGCTACCCGATCGCGTTCTTCGCTTTTTGGAAATTTTTCAATGCTCCTCGCATCAAGACTGAAAGGGCTTTCATATGATATATCAATCAAACCATTCCAATTATTAATTGTACTGCCCGATTTTGCTTGGAAAACAAAAAAAGAAAAAACTAAAACACATCCGAATACAAAATTTGTCCCATTTTCAATGGTCGGAACAAAAGGCCAGCCTAAAAATCAACGAGTAATAGTTCATGCATAGAGACAGAAGTAAATTTAAGCCAGCAACTTTAGACCCATTTCCCTTGTATCAGTCTTAACCTAGCTATTGCTAAAAAAAGTTCACCGATATGCCAGCTAAACAACAACAACAACAAAAAACTTAAATTAAAATAGAAATACATCTATTTCGCTATCTATCAGTCGTTGAGTTGCCGAAGGAGACGGTCAGGGAACAAGTTCTTGTATTTTTCTTTCTGTGTTGTGCTACTGCATGGTAATCGGTTACGGAGTTTAACTGAGTAACAGGTACGCTGAGGTAAGATATCTTTCAAAAGATGGGATGGTGTAGAACCTATACGCTCATAAAAAATTTCGATCACAATCCGCAATTATCTTTTTGACCGGAGTGAAGGTCTGTATGATTTCCATTCGTGTCCCTCGGATTTCCATTCGTGTCGCTGAGGTAGACAAAATCAGGCGGCAAAACAACACAATTAAAGCAATTATCACCTTAGGTGAAGTATCAAAAACTCAGTGGAATACTTAATTAGATGAAGCTCATTGCAAATTCCGTGACTTACGAAACGCCTTCGCTAGAATCCATCAAAACCTAACTGCAATCAAAATTTTACAAAAACACAACAACAGTTCCAGCGTATAATTATTTAGCTTCAAACTTTTAGATCGTAAACAAGATGTTTCTATCAATAACAAACAGCCTAAAAAATTGAAGTCTCGAATTTTGAATCCAATTCTGTAAATTTTGTATAATAATGAAAAACCACAAATGAATGAAAGCACCCATGCCTATCTGTACGCAGATGACACAGCTAGATAAAAATTGAGACGATAAAAAACTTCATCAGAAATTACGACAAAAACTTATGGGAGAAGAGAAAATAAAGGTTGGACTTGAATTAAATGAAGGTTATTTCAGACGAAAGTATAAAATAGTCTCTTCAAGTAAATCAATTAAAAAAATTTAATACAGAAGTATAGCCACTGCGTACCACAGAAAGTTTCGACCATGCTCATTTTTGAATAAAACTTGAAAAAAGTACATAAAGAAGAAAATTAAAAAAACTCGTTTCAAACTTATCGGACCAATCTGGCTAGTGAAATAGTTAGAGTCTGGATGGGTAAATAAGCTATAAGAGACGGTTACAACAAAAACCACAAAACGAGGAATAACTAGATTAGAAATGCAGTCTGGAAATGCAGTTTGATCCAGAGTGGAAATTAGTCTGAAAAGTAGATAAATTCAGACCAGTTATTGAAACTTTTTGGAATCTAAATCACGGCAAAAAACCTTTAATATAAACCACACCTGACTACACGCGAGTTTCGCCTGAGGTAGACAAAATCAGGCGGCAAAACAACACACTGATCCATAGTACTTTCCCTTTAGTTCAATAAAAGATCAGAACAACGAAATTATTGAGTAAAAATTTGAATGTCATCTTTATTTAAGACACTAGAACTCAAAAACACTCGTGAAAGTGTTAATGAGAAGTTAAATAAGTTCTTGGAAGAATTATATAACAATTAGCCAAAATTCAAACTTGATCTCAATTTAAACAGAATTAAAAGAACCTCAAGTTTCAAACACAAAACTGAAATAAGTCTACCTGCTACACAGGGGCGGATCTAGGATTTTCTCGAGGGGGGGGCGGATTTTCAAAAAATTTTCCAAAATTTTGACGACCTTTTTTTTTTTTTAGGTCGACCAAATTGATTTTTCGAGCTCTCCCAAAGCACTGTTTTGGCCCTACTTTGGCTAAATTTTCTGCGCCGCAGGCAAATTTTTGAAAAAACAGTCAAAAAAGCCGTTTTTGGGCAATTTTTGAAAAATTTTGACAAAAAAATCGCGTTTTTTTTTGGCGCGCGCTCCCCCTCAAAATTAGTATATATTGGCGCCAAAGGCGCCTTTAGAAAAATTTTAGGGTCGGTCGGCCAAAAATGGATTTCTGAAAAAGTATCAAAGGGGGGACCCTTTGGGTCGGCAGGGGGTCGAATCTCTGAGGGGGGGGGGGGGGGCGTCCGCCCCCCCCCTAAATCCGCCCCTGCTGCTACATGAGAAATCTAAACTAAACAACGATAGCCCGTTAATATGCAAATAGCGCAGAATGTTCCGACCATAGTCTTTAGAAAACTACTGTTAAAAAAGTTTTTTCCAAATAAGCCAAAATTTAGTTTTTTCTGCTTGGTGTGATAGAAGGATCTGACATAAAAATATAATTTAGGCATATTAGACAGTCATAGTAATAGAGGCAAATTGAAAAAAAAATTGTAGAAAAATGACTCGAAAAACTAAAAAAAATATATATATATTTTTTGCTGAAAACTTTTGAAATTTTGAGTTCACAAAATGAAGCAAAAACTAGTTTTACTGGCTTAAAATCAAGTTTAAAGGTCTTAAATTGGGCATAAGTCAGCTGTTGTAAGCCTGCTCGTTTGTTTTATTCGCTCGAATAAAGACGAAAAATCAAAAATTTCAAACCGGATTTTCTCGACACTGGGAAATAATTTGGGAAATTTTTTTAAGTGATTCAAATCACAACTGAAAGGGCTTTAATATGATATACCAATCAACCCAGTGTGATGATTATTTGTGGCATCTCAATTTTGCGTGGAAAACAAAAAGAAAAACAACACGAAAAACACACCCGAATAAAAAGTTCCTCCTCAATTTCAATGGTCGTAAGAATAACCGCTTTCCAAATCATCATCCAGTGTTTAATCTTTTTTTTTGCGGTCAGAGACCACCGAAAAGAGACATTCATATTCTAAAGGCGATATCCCAGAAGGGTGCTTTATACATATTTGAAAGATTATTTATTTAAATCAGTTACAATGCTGGACCTATACTGGCAACAATTTATTAGTTTGATAATAAGTGGAAAACTGCTAATATTTCAAGCAGGGGCGGATCTAGGATTTTTTTGAAGGGGACGACCTTTTTTTGACGACCTTTTTTTTTTAGATCGACCAAATTGATTTTCCGAGCTCTTCTAAAGCACTAAAAGGTCCCTGTTTTTGCCAAATTTTCTGCGCCGCAGTAAAATTTTTGAAAAAACAGTTTTTTTTGGCGCGCGCTCCCCCTCAAAGTCGTATATATTGGCGCCAAAGGCGCCTTTAGAAAATTTTTAGGGTCGGTCGGCAAAAAATGGATTTCTTAAAAAGTACCAAAGGGGGGTCGAATCCCTGAGGGGGGGGGGCGTCCGCCCCCCCCCCCCCCCCTAAATCCGCCCCTGATTTCAAGGACCGTATCAATGGCGGAGAATTGAACTGACCTGACTTTGAGGTAATCCGACATGAGTAGCTTGTAGATGCTTTTGGTGGCATGAGTCATGAAACATCTTCCTTTGAAGGCAGTCTTTGTCAGGAAGTAGGGCAGTGCCCCACAATGGTCCAAATGGAAACTAAATCCAAAGCATACACTCTTTAAGAATTAGAATTAAATTTGTGCAATTCAAAACTTTTTAAAGAATTTTTTCTGCCATTTTTAACCATAACTTATTAAAAAGGTAAACAATTTGCCATCAAATCAATCATTAACGTTACTCACTGCGTGACCAGAAGGAAATCAATCTCAGAGGGTTCCACGTGTTCGATGTACGGAAGTGACTCGAACCCATGATGACCTGGGTGAATGCCACAGTCAAGCTACAAACAAATTCGGAGCTGCCATGATACAAAAGTAATGCTTACACCAATTATCCAACCAGCTTGCAAACAGTTGCAATATAAATTGCGCAGCCAAACCCACACAAAAATTTGGTTTCTATTTAAGATCCATTTTAAGCTCATTCAATCCTATAACTTTTCTTTAGACTTCATTTGGCATTAATTTTGAGGAGAGCGTGAGCCACAAAATCTAACGGCCTTTTCAGCACTTAAAAAAGCCAGCTTGGAGTTTTGGGGGGCCGGGAAATCAATCAATTTGGTTGCACTGAAACACATAGGTGACGCAGTTGTCGATATTTTTGAGGAAAATCCATTTTTTGCTATTCACAAACTTCCTAAAACCCGCCTACAAACAACTTACCGCAAGATCTCATTCAATTTTATCACAAATTAAAAGCTCATCATACTTAAAAAACTCACCATAATTTTCTTAGTCTTGTACTCCAGCATAATGCATGATCTCCCCACTTCCTGGCCGGCTCCCCTGAAACAAGAGGAAACATGATGGAAAATAATATAAAAGACTCTCCTCTCCGCTAACCAATCTTCATGTCATACTTTGAGGTCGAAATAAGACCAAATTAATTCAAAACAAAAGAGGATATCGAGGAAAATCTCGACTGAAATCACATCTACCTCCGATGAATTTTAATTTATAAGTATATTAAATTTCCATCTCCAGAAGAAGAGAGTCAAAATAGATCAAAACTTAATGGAGAAGCCAGGGGCGGATTTGGGTAAGGGTCAGAGAGACAAAAACCAGATCCCTTCAAGGATTCGACCTTTTCATTGCCCACAACTCTTTACCTTATTTGGTACTACTTTACTAATTCATTTTTGATCGATCAACCTTAAAATTAAATTTCCCTAAAACAAAAGAGACCAGCACGCGCTATTTCTCGGCTCCCTTTTCCAAAAAATGCAATTTGAGATTTTCGAAAAGTTACCTGCAGTTCAGCAAGCTTCAAGCTAAAACAACTAGTAAGTGTTGCAGAGGAGCTATAAATATCATTTTGGCCAATTGAAATCGGGCAATTTTATCATTAAATTTATCTTGAAAATCCACTTCTAGTTAAAAATCTCAATCCAATCTTGTGATATTTTAAAATCTAAAAGAACACAAGCACAACAAAAATGAGCATAAGTTCACTTAATTTGTAAATAAAAGTTTCACTACATTCAGTCTAGTGGCCTTGCCAAGAGAGTTAACCTACAGTGGAGTTATTGACAGGTAGTCCGAGGGATCTCTTTCCGACCCATCAGAGCCTGTCACTGTCACGCCCACCCCTGCCCCTCCTCCTCCCCCTAGGCCATCAGCAGAGGAAACTTGTCCTGAACTGGGAATAGAGGACATATCAAGTCTCACAAAAACAAATCTGAAAAGACAAAAACTCTTTAACTGTCATTGGAGGAGATTTTTAAGGTCATTCGTCGCTCAAATCTTAGCCATTTATAGCATTCAAAGCTAAGTAGCAAAAAAACACTTTGGGTTTCTATTACTTAGGAGAAAAGAGCACATTGCGTTCTTTAAAAAGAAGGCAAGATAGTGTTCGACCATCACGCCGTTGTCACATTTAAATAATTACACACCAATTTCCCAAGGAAATTTGCCCATTAATTTAAAAAAAAAAAATACGCGCCACAAAAATTGATTCTACGGACACTTTTCGACCAACACAGAACAATTTTTGGGGTTTTGAATTTAACCTCAGACAGAAATTTAGACAAAGCACAAAAATGCAAATTTGATTGCCACTACTTTCACCCGCCTAACCTCGATTAACACTACTCAATTTACATATTTCCTTCCCATTTATCTCTATCGCATGGGACAATGATAGTATCACGTGGACTTAAGCACCAATAAATGTTAAACCACCGCATTCAAAGTTAATGTACTGATTAAAAAGACAGGAAACATCCTTATGATTAGCTGCAGTAAAAAAACTGACCCAGCTACAGAAACTGAAATTAAAACATCGACTTATTCCCCTATTTCTAGTCTAATTGGCACAAAAACGAAGTCGAGAAGAAGATTTTGTTTTCCTATGACGTGTAGGGCCCCATTAATCTCATTGTGAATTTTATTTTTGAAGACACAGTGCCATTGCTTTAAATACCTTCAATTCTCATCATATTTTTTAATCACTAGTTCACAACAAACTTTACAGCGCTATTCAGAAATTATTTTTTACGATTTGGACGCAACTTATTTGGAGCTGCCGAAAAAAACATTTATCAGCAATTATTTCTAAACTATCAAGAGGCTGCCACGATATGACTCTCGAATCTTATCGAAAGACAGACATCATTAATTTGATTATTTAGCTTTACGAATATAGCTTGACTATTACGTCAATCCCACTCCTTTTTTTGTCGTTATTGACCCAACAACAAACAATCAGGAGAACAAGCTTACGGCTAAATTTATATTTATCATATTTGAAGAAAATTTATCAGGCTTGAAACGCTTTTTAAAGTACATAAATGCATTAAAACATTGCCAAAATCCTCCTTTGTCACAGTAGATTAAAGGGACATTAGAAACAACCGTACCAACGTTTGGAGCTAGCAAACCATAAGACTCAACAATAAAAACCTTATCAGATAAAAAAAAATCACAACAAAACAGCCTCAGTTGATGCTATAATTTATGACATTTCTGAATTGCTCATTCGAATTGGTTAATATTAGCAGCGGAAAATGGAGATAATAATTCCGAAATTGCTTTCCTTTTCACAAATCTATAAACGTGAAGTGAATTTAAGTACGAGCAAGACTACGCGCGCGCGTGTGTGTGTGGGGGGGGGGGGGCATACCTCGATCCACCGTAGCTTCTGTCCGACAAATATTTTATTTTCAAAATAAGATCTATGGTCAAATTTAAGTAGAAGATCTATCCGGACTGAAACCGAAATTTAACGGCGCTACCAGCAATCGAACTAGAAATTTCGCCAGCAGTTCTGGAAATGCAAGTTTTGAGAGGAACGAATAAAACTGATTTAGTTTGTCAGATCGTTGGTTCGCCAAGACCTTTATTTTATTAGAGCAATTCCTTCTGAGAACCAAAAAATGTTCGAACGCAGCATTTAACCATAAGTTATATAAATTTCTCTCCCACCAATTGTCGGAACAAAAAAAAACTGTCGCTCAATTGAAAGAATGGGAAAAAACTTATTTTTTCAAAATGTTCTTGATTTTTTGGCATTTCTGTTTATCATGTTTTCCAAAACTAAATTTTTTTCCAGTGTTATTTAGTTCGTCGAATGGCTTGAGACCACCAAAGTTGAATGCCTTGAGACTAACAACAAAAAGCAAGACAAGTAATTGACCATCAAACAATTTTCAGACATGATCGTAAGTATAATTATACAAAAAATTATGATGATAGATCAGTTAAATTCACTTCACATCCACATTATCATAGATGCCTATGTCTTTCTATCTTTATTTTACAACCTTTGTCCAGTTACTAGCTACAGGCCAGGGTACTCCGAAGAGCTTCCCAAATTCCACAAGGAAAAGGACAACGACAGGTTCGTAATGATCAGTTAATTTTGTTTCAACTTAAACACAAATTTATATAAGTTTTCGGCATAAACTTGTTTTCAAGATAGTCATGAGGCAAAAAAGATAAAACAAATTGAGATATAACAAATAAGGTACTACAAATTTTGATCAGTATGAGACGAGTCATATATCAAATTAAAATTCTTTAAATCATGATTCGATCAACCTTACAAAAAGTTATACTGGTAATTTTTTTCCTATTCGATAGGTTCAGTAATTCATTTTTTGAAGACAAGAGCAAGCGCTTATGATTGATTTTCCAAAGATCTAAGCTTTACTAGTTCCTCTCATCACACGAACGCTCAAAAAACGGCACACATCTGTGAAAAATGTGCCATTTACAATGGTTTTATATTACCATTATTGCTCCTGTAACGAACTTCCAACAAGTATCCAATAGCCAAAACGCTTTCTTAAACCGTCAAGTTTCTTCCATTTCGTTCAGCAAAGATTCGGCACTGCTTCAAAATGAAGTGAAAATGACAGAAATGCTATAAAAACATTTAAAAAAAAAATTATTCAAACTATCATATAAAAATTGTTCTATAGTTAATTCCGAACTGTTGAGACCATCGGTGATCCTGAGTGCCTTAATTGGTCAAAAAACAGTGCTTTCTAGGTTGTATTACATCCAGGAGCGGATCTAGGGTTTTCTAGAGGGGGCGGATTTTTTGATTTTCTTAAGAAAAACTTTAGGGTCAGTCAGCCAAAAATGGATATCTCAAAATAGGACAAAGAGGGACCCTTTGGGTCGGCAGCCCCCCCCCCCTAAATCTGTTGGTGATTACATCTTCACTTCAACAATTTTTACATCCTTCACTCAGATAGATTCCCTGACCGAAAAGGATTTTGCTAAAAATTTGGCTTTAACTATAAATTTAATTTCTAATACAATAAAAACAAACTATTTTTCCGAATTCATTTATACTGATTATCAAAGAAACGGGCTACATCATTTAAGTTTGATATTTGGCATATATTGAAGAGCTACTTCCTAAGCTGTTCAAACTTCCACGTTTTATCCGGAGAAATAGTTAAAACACAGTTGTGATATTGAGTAAGAGAGGGAGAGTGAGCAATAGTCACAAAACACTCAATCTCACTCTGGCAAGACAATATTTTGTAGATCCTCGCTTGCTCATCGTTGCTCACAGCACTAGTTGACTCGTCCATGAAGAGAATATTAGGTCGGCTTAGCATCACCCGGCCAAATGAAAGTCTCTGCGCTTCGCCCTGGGAAAACACACTGGACCAGTCCCAGTCATGATCTTCCGTTATAGACCCGCATCTCTCAATAATATACTCTAAGTTCAGAGTTTTCAATACTTCTACTACTCTGTCGATAGTTGAGTCGTTAATCTCAACTATTTTCGGGTAGAACAGCTGTCGAATTAGAGAACCTTGGCAAAAATATGGCGTTTGAGGCAAGAACATTTTAGTTTTGTTCAATTGAAATGATACATTGCCACTTTGAACCTCCCACATTGAGTTAAGAATACGAAAAAGCGAGGATTTTCCGACCCCGTTAGGTCCTGAAATGAGCAACTTGTCGCCAGATGAAAGATTGAAATCTAGAAATTTAATCAGTACGTCATCATCTGTAGATTCAGCGTTTTCGACCATCGATGAAAACTTTTCTCCCCCTGGCAAACCAAAAGAGACACTTTCCACTTTCAAAAGATATTCACCATGTCCGGAGTTATCAGATTTTGAATTATCATCATGTAAACCACTATCACTTGAACTACATTGAAGAGCTTCTAATGTCTGAGAACCTTGATCTGAATTTTGCGATTCACGTTTCATTCTATTTTCGGCAATCATTTCAACACTGCCTTGCATAATTTGCAGGGTTTCTAACAACTCTCCGACCCTGTGAGTGACTCCCGCTAGCTCTGACACTTTGTTCGACAGGTCAATCAGTTGGCTGAAACAGTATATGAGATAGAGAGACTGAAACGCGTAGGCAGACACCAACTCTGACCTTTCGCCTGGCGATTTATGGTCAAACTGACCTCCGAAAATTGGAATGGCAATAACTAGATAGCTTTGAATAGCACCCATGTAGTCGTAAAACGAAGTGAAAGTCTTCACCACAAACTGTGAGAAAAAGAGTCTCGTTTGAACTGAGATTAATTTATCCAGCCGCTCATCGGCATTTATAGATTCGTACTTTTCCCCTCTGTAAAACGCTATGCTTTGACAACTTGATCGCACACGCATATGAAGAAACCGGAAATTCCCTTCCGCTAGCTCTTGCGCGACGGTTCGAGTCACGACGGGACCCATAAGGAATTTGTTCACGACAGTTCCGACGCAAAACACGCCAAAAATCACCAAGGGTCCGAAAACTCCAGTTGTCAAATAGCATTTACAGGCATAGTAAGCTATAGTGAATGGGGACAGAAGTAGAAGTGGAAACATATTTGCAAAGGTCAACAACATCTTATCCAGATCTGCTGCGAGTCTTTGGTCCACGTTGTCAATGAACTTTTCCGAGCTCAGGGTCGAATTGATATGGAAATAATTAAACCCCGAGAAGTATAATTTATGCAAATGTTTGCACATATTTTGTCTCCAGTGAACGTAAAGCATCGAAGAAGCATACTGAACTACGGCGTTGACCACTGATATCGCACTCATTAGAGCCAAGGCCTGACATAAAACCTGCTTGAATGCTGGAAAATCCTGATCCACAAGAGTTTTTGTGAACTTCGAAGCCAGTAAACCGACATAGTAGACTAAAATCTGCTGTAAAATAGAAATGAGAAGAATAAACGAGGAAAGAATAAACGACAAGTATCCATTTGAAAGTCTCAGAATTTCGAAGAATCTCGCAAAGAAGAGAAGGTTGATTTTATAGTGAGATTTTTTCGGTGCTGGTGGCTTAGGCATAATACTAGCTTCAAAGGAGCAGCAAAAGCATCAAATCACAACTTCAGTTCAATCATTCAACTGAAATCAAAGCCCGAGCAAGTTAAACTAGTGGCAAAGAAATATGCGTTTCAATGAAGCAAATAATGAGTTTAATGTCAAGGTTCAAAGGAATTTTACAAGGCTCAGGGTAGAAACATTTCGTAGCAAATAGAGATTGAGATGAAGAGATTTCCAAGCAACTTATGTTATATATAATAGACTCAGGGTAAAATTCACATGAAAATATTAACTGCAACAGTTTGAACTTCACTGAACTGAAGCATGGGTTTGTTGCAATGATATCATGCCTTATTATGTTTCTCATGGACGAACGCCAGCTTTGTTTTCATTAGAGCTAATCAAGTTCTAACTATCACATCCAGGATGTACAATTTTTTCACTTACCCCGTATTTAGTGCACGTGAAGGATGAAGGGCAGTGCTACTACGTAAAGTATTCCTATAATTCAAATTTACTAAAAGCGAATAACTCGCTTTTAACGAAAAAAATCGATTATCAGGTCCAATGCTTAAAATTTATTACTTGGTCTCAGGCTCTCAAGCTCTCAGACAAGAAGCAATTCAATTTGGTGCACTTCTGGCACGGAAGCAACAAAATGAAAAACAATCAGAAAAGTTCCCTACTGCTGTTAAAATCAGGAAATGGTTATCTTAATGTCTTGTTTGCATATGGATCTACGAATAATTTATGAATAATGAAAAACTTGAATTCTTAAGTCATAAAAAGCGAGCAACCAATCCTAACTATCGAGCAGCATTGGAACACGAGCGCTAACCTCCTGCCACGAGCTCAAGCACATCGCGATCCCTTACTATTTATGATGTTTACTTTGCGCCTGCTACTCGGCACTAAATTTTCAATTCTGCTTAAAAAAGCGGAAGTCGAAGTCCGATTAGTAAAATAGAGTTGTAAAAATTAACATAAAGTTGCAACTATTATCTTAAATTATTGAAACTACTCCAAGTCACTTAATCTATCTAAGGAGAACGCTGAGCATTTTAACGAATACTTCGCAAACATTGGCGCCAGGCTTTCACAAAGCAAAATAACTTGCACGGATAATAATGTTATCCGTCAGCAGCAATCGTTGTTTTTGAAAAAAAAAATTGATTTAATTGAAGTAATAAGTCATCGGAAATCTAAAAAATAAAGATAGTACAGATTGCTATGATATCAACAACGTTCTCGTCAAGCATTTAAAAACTATATTAGCAGGCCCTTTGACTGAAATTTTAAATGACTGCCTAACTTCAGAAATCTACCCAAAATTTTTAAAAATTGCAAAAATTGTACCAATTTTCAGGGAAGGAAATATCGATGACCCCTCAGACTATAGACCAATTTCGCTTCTTCCAGTTCTGGAAAAATCTTTTAAGCGTCTAATTTTCAGACGAGCACAATCATATGTAGACAAGTTTAATATCATCCGAAACTCTCAGTTTGGCTTCAGATCAAAAAGGAGCACTGTCGACGCCATCCTTACATTGTTGGAACAAGTTTCAACATCGCTATCGAACAAAAAACTAACTTCAGAATACTTTTTTAGACCTAACAAAGGCTTTTGACATTGTTGATCACTGTAATCTGTTAATAAAATAGGAACATATGGGATTTAGAGTGCCTGTCTTAAAACTCTTGGAATCTTACCTTGGCAATGGCTATCAGCACATCAACACAAACTCTTTTAAGACCTATCCTTGGCCACCTTTATTCATACTTTACACAACAGCTCTTCAAATAGCCACAAAAAAAACGGGGGTACTTTTGTATGCTGATGAAACAATAGACTATATTGCTCTCGCACATCAATCGACTTTGCTTGAAGTAAATGATTGGTTAGAAAAGAACAAATTAACACTAAATATCAAAAGAACCAAGACCATGAGCCACTGTCGGACCAAAAAAACTGAAAAAAGACCTGTCAAGTAACTTTTAAATGAAACCCAAATAGAAGATGTAGAATGTTTTAAATATCTTGGAATTCACCTTGACTGTACATTGAAATTTTATCAGCAGATAAGGTAAAAATAAAGTTTTGCAATTCCGTGGAGTGTTTTTTCAATTGAGAAAGTTTCTAACTGGACGGCAATTAATATTTGCGTATAAAGGTTATGTGCACCCAATTATCAATATGGAGTTTTAGTTTATGCGAATACCGACAAAACCAAACTGTTAGAACTGGAAATGAAAATCAGAAGGCTAATCAGAATAATTTTTTTATACACAGGATGAATTCAATTCCTGAAATAAAGCATGAAAATAAAATATATACCGTAAGAGAATTTTTAACGTACGAACTTCTCTGAAATTAACCGGGAAAACTATTCGAAAAGAGTGCCAAGTTGATCCCTTGAGATATTCTATTACTGAACAAGAGTTAAACGCGATATTTTCAAAGAGAAACAAATCAAAAGTTAGCTATAAATAGACTGAACAGAGGATCGATTACACCTAAAACTAGAGAAATGTTAATTTTGTAGTATTTTTTCCCGCCTGGGTCAATTTCTTGAATGGGGCTTCTCGGTTTCAATTGAATAGTTGTCATCATAAATTTTTGGATAATTACATTCTAGGAAACACGGTTTTCGGTTTTATTGGGCATGCTTTGAGACATTTTAATGCTCAATTTGTAGAAATTGTTTCTGTTGGTTTCAAGGTTTTAGGTAGAAAGGACTACCCGAGAAAACAAAAAAAATAATTTTTTATAAAAAGAATGGTTTAAAGGTGCGAATAAAGAGGTTTTACGTTTAATAAATGTTTACGGGTTGCATTGGATCGAAGAAGTTAACTAATTTTTTTGTTCTCCGCTTAATGAGACACCTGAAAACGGGCCGTGCTGGCTTAATGTTGTTCTCCCAAATAATTATAATTTGTATTTATAAATTTCTATAAAAAACTCTGTAACTAGATATCGTTCGGAAACAATTTATTATTATTATCTCGGTATTAGAGATTTAAAAAAATTAATCAAAAAAATGAGAAACGGCAGATGGCAAAATGAAAAAATTATTTTGTATCACTTAACTCAATTTTTGCGGTTTAATTAGAGTTGTGAAAATCAAAACACACGTCAAAACTCAGATACTGTGTCTTCGATTGCAAAGATACATTGTCAAGGAAAAATTAAGCCCCAATTGATTTCAGCGGGCACTGTGCTATCATTATGTCGGGCAAAAATTTGAAAACTTAGTTCCAAAGTTATCGAAATAATTTTCATTTTCGTCGAGGTGGATCCAATAACACATTACCTCCATTAGAAAATAGCACTTAATTCTTTACTCGCGTCAAAACTTGGTGACCGGTATATCACCGTTATCAGGCCAAATCACAAGAAGGGAAATTAGATACGATGAAAGCTAAGCATTGAGCAGAAAGCATTCAAGAAAAGAATACTTCCAAGAGCATAATACGTCAAAAAGCTGAACGAATCAACTGATGGAAGTTATAAGAAGCACCTTAATTTAATCCCTCAATTGAGTGTTTGCCGTGAATGGTAGTTTGAACGAGGTAAAACATTTCATGTCGAGTCTCGTACCCCTTAAGGTATGAACATTTGATTGATCCGACATGAACGTAAATGCAAGTCATGGGTGATACTTTGTTCTATCTGACTGGTGTCTCCTATTTTTAAAAGCCCTTAACGCAACAATTGTCAGGGAAATCGATGAACTTTTTTAGTTGCAATTGAAGATAAGTAATTTGAAACACAGAGGTGAAGCAGAGCTTCACAGCATTTGCGATACAACACAATATAACATAACACGCTTGCGAAGAGAAAATGAGACGGAAGTATAAACAAAAAACTAGATCTACAAACACTTCAAACGTTTGAATCGACTGATGTTCAAGTTCATGAGAAAAAAGTCGCAAAACAAATCATGAGCCTTATATAAGCGTTAAGCATTCCTTACCGAGCGGCCTCTTAGACGACAATACTAGGATACAAAACCATTCAGCCAAAAAAAGAAAAAGCTAACACTAACTTGTCGTAAAAAAATTAGAGATTTCAGGTTTCAAAATCCAAGTTTTTACACCCTACACTCCTGAAAACATACAAGAACACAACAACAATTTTTACCCATAGAATATAAAATAAGGTGACTAAGCTGATGTAAAATAAGCCAAAACAAAACGATTAAAAAGGAAAACTGAAAAAAAATAGAACGGAATGTATTTGAAAATAGTTCATAATATAACAAGTTACAGAACGATTTTCAATTACACTACAAATTGTTTAAATCAGAAGAAAAGTTTATACGTTCGAAAAAAGCCGAGAAAAATATGCAGACAAACGGTAATCCGACTATTCAAAACTTCAAGAAAAAATCTGATTAAACTGTATCGAAAAAAAAACAAGATCCTCAAGTCCCACGCTTACAAAATCCAGGGCTTTTGGGTTACCACTAGGCAAAATGGAAATATGCATCAAGGTGTTGAGGTTCCATAATAAAGCAAGTTTAATTTGTTAGAGAGGTGCAAAAGTTATACACGGAAGTAACCAAGTGAAATAAGGAAACACAATTTCATTTGCTCTTTGATTATTTTTTGGAAACGGTATCCGTGTAAGATAACATAAGATTCCATGAAGAAAAACACTAGGATCCATTTTTTCCAACGTTCAATGCTCGGAAAAACAAAAAACAAATCGACATAGAAGAGGTCAGTGCCAGTCAGTGATGTCTCAATTTTAATAAACCTATAAATAGCGTAAGATGAAATAAAACATTTGACGTAATTCGCATTCCAAGTATATTTCTCCAGTTTAGACCCCGAAATCAAATTTAATACCAATTGACTTACAGATAAAAAGCTTTAAAGGCCTTTGTCAAAAATATCACTTAGTTGTTGGGACAACGGAATCGAAACTACTGATCTTCCTTTAATGCGCCTTGGCAATGAGATTTGAATATTATAAAAATAATATAAATTTATTTTTCTATTATCTTTTTCCATTTATTTTTATTTCACACTACATGCTAAAAAATTGCGAATTATTGTGAACAATTATATTTGTGTGCTTCGTCCTAATTTTTGGGCTTCGTCCTAATTTTTGTCGGTTGAATTTCGTTTTATCGCAGTTTTTATTAATGAACCTTAACAAATTGGATGCTCATTCCCACTTGGCCTGGAGTTAACACAATTGCCTTTGCATCCTAAGGTTTGGGGTTCGAGCCCCAGTCGGACCTCTCTTTTTCAATATAAATGATTTTTTGAGTTTTCTCATTTGAGCAATTTTTACGTTTATTGAGTCCTCTTATTTCGTCATTTTACCAACTCAAACTTTGAATACCCGTTTCTTTGTTTTTTATTTTTTTTCTATAAAGATTTAAGCTTACGTTTTGTCAGCTGAAGTCAACTTTTATGAAAAACAAAAAGAACTACTGATTCAAAAGTAATTTCGGATGCTAACGTATAAACTATAAAGTATGAGTTTCGAGTTTTAAAAGAAGTTTTAAGACATGAGAATGATTATTTTGC